AGTCCTGGTTGACCTTGGCCTTGCGATGGAAGGGGGGCCAGGGGCTGAGGCGGGGGAGGGGCAAGCAGGGCGGAGATGCCCCCTCCCGCCCCACCTCCTTACCCCCCCAGAGCATGCCAGCCGTCTGAGCCTGCATGAAGCAGACCAGTTCAGCCCTGTGGGGAGGGGACGCCACATACTTCTGGGGGCTCCCCCGACCACCGCCACCACCACCACCACCACTCCCAGCATCCTGGGCCCTGGATGGTGCCAGGTGGGGAACTGATGCCCGGCCTCTCCCAGCTGGACTCTCAGAGGAGACTCGCAGGACGAGACGCCTGTTCCGTTGCCCGCGGGTGCCAGGGACACAGTGGGGAGGGGGTGGGTCCTGGGGCCAGCGAGTGTGAGCCAGCCAGACAGGCCTCTGCGGGCCCTGCAGACAGGACAGAGAAGCTCAGGCCCACCCTGTCTCCAGTGAGGTCCCCTCCACCCCCATTTCCTGTGCATTGTGGGGCTGAGCTGTTGAAAGCAGCGAGCTGGAGTGATAGGACAGCGGGGAGGGCATTTGCCTGGCATGCGGCTCCCCCAGGTCTGCTCCCCAGCATCCTGGACGGTCCCCTGAGCACCACCAGGAGCAGTTCCTGAGTGCAGAGCCAGGAGTAACCCCCGAGCAACACCGGGTGTGGCCCCCAAACAAAACAGAGTCTCCCCACACCGACTCGGGGAGGGTGAGAGGCCCCAGGTCCTCTCGAGCGCAGTGTGTGTGTGTATGCCCGTGTACACCCGTCTCCCTGGGTGCGGCCCACCTGCCGCACTCTGCCACTGCTCACTCTCCGCTGGTCGCTGTGTGGGTCTCTCGGAGCCTGAGTCTGAGTCTGTGGGGGCTACGGGTCCCCCTCCTCTCTCCTTCCTCTCCCACAATCTGCTCCGTCCCCTGGGACTTGTGAAATGTGAGTACCTCCGGGGGGGGCGGGGGGGCCCTGCCTCTGCCTTGGCCCAGGACTCGGTCCCCTGCCACCTGTGAGGGGCAACCAGTGCCCAGCGGGAGAGGGCGGGAATGGGCTGTGGATGAGGTGGGATGGACCCCGTGGACCCTGGAGAGGCGGGGTGGCTTCGGGGGCTTAGAGAGATTCTGACTGCCCGCAAGTCCCCCAAGTCCTCCGTCCTCGTGACCACACGCCAGGCCACCACTGGCTCCGGGACAGGGATCCTGTCTGGGGCTGAGCCGCCAAGGAACCCCGAGCTGTGGCCCCGGCTCCCTCCGCCTGCCACCTGTTCCTCAAGTGTCCTGTGCCCCCAAATCCAGGGCTGGGCACCCAAGGCCAGCCACTCCCACTCAGCAGAGGCTGAGTAAGGGTCAGCGCTGACGGGGAGCGAGCTGCCCAGGGGCCCTGCCCAGCCCCCCTGGTCTGCCAGTGTTTCATTCCCTGTGTCGTGTTTCATTCTTTTAGATCTAATGCTGGACGATGTAATTACTTCCGGCAGCTCAGCCAGCGCAGCGCCAGGTACTGCGTCTAGGGGTGTGGGGTCGGGGCGGCCTAGGGGGCAGCAGGCCCTGCCTGTCCCCAGGCCCTCCTCTTGTGTGAGGCGTGTCCTCTTTGCTTCCTGTCCGTGGGTCCCGAGTGTCCCCTCGGGGTGAAGGGGTCAGGGTCCCGGGGCTGCTGGACGGGAGGTGGGGGGTCCCGGCACACTCCTTCTCTGGACATTACTTTGCGGATCCTCCTTCTCTGCCCAGGCCCCCAAGGCCCAGCACCCCAGCCGGTTGGCCTCCGCTCTCTGCTCCCCACCCCGCCCCCCCCAGCCTCTTTTGAGAGCTGCGAATCTCTCTCTGGTCTGAGGGAGACTTTGATCCCGGCCGCGGGAGGAGTGAAGCCGAGAGGGAGCGATTTTGTTTCAAAAATGTACTGATGAATAATTGAACAGGCTCATTAACCAGCCGCTGGCCACATCATGGTTACACACAGTGGGAACAGGGGTCAGGGTCCGGGAGCCACGTGCTTCTCCCCGAAAGCCCGGGGTCTGGGGGTGGGGGTCTCCCTATGTTCCAGAGCTTGGGCAGGGCCTCCAGGTCCTGCCTGCACCACCTGGTCCTGAGGGCAGGGGGGCGATCGTCCCATGTTCCAGCACAGCTTCAGACATTCCCTGAGTCCGGGCCATGGGCCCTCTCCCCGGGTGTCATCATGGGTCCCCTCTGTTGTCTCAAGGGCCTCCCTGGTCAGTTCCTCCCACAGACCCCATCTTTAAAACAATGACCTGAGGGCCGGAGCCATAGTTCAGCCAGTTGGGTGTCTGCCTTGCACACGGCTGACCAGGTTCAATCCTCGACATCCCATGTGGTCCTCCGAGGCCCCCAGGAGCGATCCCTGAGCACAGGGCCAGGAGTAAACCCTGAGCACCGCTGGGTGTGGCTCCCCCAAAATTCCAGACTGATCCGGAAGTGAGAGCACCTCAACAAAGAATTGCTTTAGCTCTTTTTTTTGTGCGTGTGGATTGAAGGCCTTCTTCTTGCTCACCCAAAGCTTCGGAGCTAGAAGCTCTCACTTTAAATGGAAGCAGAGAAAAACTGTTGGATCACTGGTCCTTGGGGTCTACATACAGCCATGGAGGATTTGTTTGAAGCTTTGAGAAATACTGAAAACAGATAAAGGGACCCCTCTAGGGCCACCTTCTCTAACTGGGTCCCTTGGGCTGGTTGCTCCTGCTTCCGGGACCCCACCCACCCAAGGGACACCCTGAGCCGCTGTTTGGGAGGTTTCTGCCCGACCCGGGGTGGAGAGTGCTGAGTTCTGCGGGTTGCATGCAAAGACCCTGTGTCTTGGGGTGGCGGGGGACTTGTGTCTGGGTGGGCGGGCTCCACATCTGCCTAGGACTGCGAATTCTGGTGTGTTGGGGTGAGGAGGGAAGGGGGGACACGCAGCCTCTCCCTAATGCGCTCCCTGGAGCTGTAGACCGAAGCCTTCCCATTTACTTGCACCCCCGAAACCACCGAGGTGCCCCCTCAACTAGTGATCCCCGCCCGACCTTCAAGCACTCCCTGACGGCCCACTCAGTGTTCAACCCTGGGCCCATCTCCCGTGGCACCCCATGCTGGGCACTCCCTCACCAGGTGGTCAGCGCCCTTCCCTCTCCTGCCTGGAAATGGGGCAGAGAGCCCACCTGGGGGACCTTCCTCGCAGAGTTGTTGGGGACCCAGTGAGCCTCCTTCAGCACCGCATCACACAGGACTTCCTGTGAAGCTAACTTAAACTCTGACTCCTGCACCCGACTCTGAACCCTCACCCAAGGCCAGGGCCAGGGGGTCCGAGCCCCTGCAGTTCCAAGCAGTCCCCCCACCTGGACAGAGTGATGGGGCTCGTCTGGAGTACTGGGGTGGACGCTGGACCTTGGCACCACGCCACCCTGGGCTGCTCCCCAACCCCAGGCAAAACCTCTGGCGTGATCCCACTTGGCCTCCAGCTCTGCTCCGCTTCCCTCCACCCCCACATCCCCCCGAGACCCTGGGAACAGGCCCGGCCACCACAGTGAGGGGGGGACCGTACCCTAGGAGTGACCCCGGCCTTCTCCCACCCCTCTTCTTTGAAGACCCTCTGCCCTGGTTGTGCCCTGCCTCCCAGGGGCACCACTGACCTCCCGATCCCGTGCTTGTTGTTCTCACTCACAGCCTCGCATCCCTCCTGCCTCTCTGCTCCTGCCCCACCAGGGCCCAACAGTACTGGGGTGGTCTCCATACTGCCCCACATGGGGGCTGTCCCCGCTGGTGGGAGGAAGGGGTGGGGCAGGACTGCTCAGGGCTTGTAGGATCTCTGCTCCCTGGAGAACTAGGGTCCTGGAACAGCAAGAGGGCTGGGGGAGCACCCACAGCCCAGGCGCGAGGGCCTTGGTCAAGTCTCCCAGAGCCCCCTCACAGCCCACCTCCCCCCCAGAGCCTGGAGTGGCAGCCCCGCCGGCTGCAGGAAGGGGCCTGGGCTGGCAGGTGGGCTCCGGGCTCGGGCTCGTAGGTGACCCCTTGTCTCCCCTTGTGCTGCAAAGGGGTGGCCCGAGGGACCTGTGTGCTTACGGGCCATTTCTGGCAGCCTGGGCCCCTGCGGGTCTGGGTGGGGGTCGGGGTGGAGGGGGACTGGCACACACCTCAGGGCCTGCGCCCCCAGACTCTGAGCAGATGCCGGCCCCCAGTCCTCTGGCCCCGTCTTCCCTGTGGGCTGCTGGGATCCGGGCCTGAGTGCCTGGCCGTTCCCTGTGCCCCCCACCCCCCCGCCCCAGGCTGACCACTGGGCGGAGGGGCTGCTGTCGACTCCCTGCAGCCCACAGGGGAGGCAGGGGGGAGAGGGACCCACCCAACCTCTCCTCTGCATTGTCTCAGCTAATAATGGGGCTAATGAGGAGTCGCTTTCTCTAACCTAATTGTAGTCAAACATTTTAGTTAATTCTCCATTCATATTTTAGCATAATGGGAGCAGGCGCTCATGGAGATTAATGCAGAGACAGAGTCAGCTGCTCGGGCAACGCCGGGCGACTAGCGCCCTCTGGTTCTCGTGGGTACTGAGGAAGGAAGCAAGAGCCCCCCACTCTCAGGGCACCTCTGCCATGCCGTGTGGATGACCCCAGAGGCGGCCCGTGTCCCCCCCACCAACCCCCCTCCCCTGCCCCTCCTCCCACCATTCCCGCTCCTGGGGGTCAGAGGGCTGCCCCTTCATACAAAGCTCCAGGAGGGCCAGCCCCTCTCTGAAGCACAAAGCCCACCCCAGTGGTGCCCCCCATACTTGGGGCTCCATGCCTCCTGGTCATCCACACCTCACGGGCAGCGCCCGAGAGTGGCATCAGGGAGCCCAAAGGCGCAGCTCCCGGGTGCTCTTCTTCCTTCGGCCTCGGGTGGGGGCCCACCCCAGGCCACTCCCTGCCTCAGTGTCCCTCTGTGCTCAGGAGGCCTCTGCATGGAACAGGACTGTGAGCGCTGAACTGGCCTGGGCCCCAAGCTTTTGTCTGCCGCCCCGAGCCAGCCACCCGCCGGCTGGCGCCGGGGCCGAGACCGCGGCCCCTGCTGTTGGCTTCCGCCCTCGATCTCGAGGGGGAAGAGCTGTCTGGGACCTGAGGCTCCCCCAGGACCCCACCCCGGAGTGGGGAGGGACCTGAGGCAACACGTTCCTAACTTGGGCCCCCGCAATCTCCTGCCCTCAAATTCATTCCGCCTGCCTCTCAGGCCAACCTGCCGGCACCAGGATTTTTATAACTAAGTAGTTGGTTAATCGCGAGAGCAACTTGCCTCTGACAGATCCCAGACAGTACTTCCAGCCCAGCCGGGTGTCCAGGGCCTCCCTGGCACCCAGGAGCAGGCTGGGTGGCGCCTCATTAGAGACCGAGTGAGTCCCGCAGGGGGTGAGGGCGGTTGCCTTCCCAGATGAGTCTGGGATGGAGCAGAGCCTCTGGGCCGCCCCTCCCTCCACCACCCAAGGGTGCAGGAGGCCTGGGCTCCCCACCCCCAGGCCCTCCAGGTGGGATCAGTGCAGCCAGCCAAGAAGATGTCCCATTTCCCTTCTCCTGTTTGATCTGCAAATCCCAGCTCCATGTAATCTGCCCGGCTCCCCTCGAGGGCTGGAGCTGGGGAAGGAGCGAGCCCTTCACTGCGCCATCGATGAGCCTGATAAGCCTGGTTGTTTGGTTTCTCATCCTATTGATCTGGCCGCACTGCTGCTCTCTGCTGCTCGGTGGAGGCTGCCTCCGAGGGGCTCACCCGGTGTCTAATGTGGGCGGGGAGCTCTGCATGTCCGGACCCCCTCTGCGCCACAGTAGCCAGTAGAACAGATGCTTGGAGGGGAAACGCAAGAGACAGCCCCCCCCCCCCCCGCCCTGAGCCTTCCCCCCCTCCCAGAAGGGCCGCGTGTGGAGGGCGTGGGTGCAGATGGACCTGGAATGTCTGAGCTGTGGCATTGGAGGCTGGCAGCTGTGAGGGATCGTGGGTGGAGGGGACGTGGGGGGCAGGGGCCCCATCGTGGCTCTGCTCTCCTCCTCCATCTTCCCCAGAGGCCCAGTGCAAACCCTACTACTCTGACTACTCCCGCTTCCGGCTCCTCGTCCACCACCTGTGCACCAGCCACTACCTGGACCTCTTCATCACGGGGGTCATCGGGCTGAATGTGGTCACCATGGCCATGGAGCACTACCAGCAGCCTCAGGTAGGGCCTGAGCAAGGGATGGAGGGCTTCCCTAGCACGAGTCCCAGCCTCAGACCAGTGCTGGGCACTACTCCCCGGGGAGGGGGGGTCCCCTTGTACCTCTTATAGCAACCCTGGGTGGTGGGTGTTGGCTTGGTTTCACCAATGAGCGCACTGCAGCTCAAGAGACTGCTTGGTTGGACCACATGGCTAGGAAGTGGAGGAACTGATTTTTTGTGTGTGTGTCTGGAGGGGACCCTCCCACCCATGTCTGGGCTCAGGGGAAGCCTGTGCTGCCTGGGATCAAACAGGGGTGCTCCTGCATGCAAAATGCATGCTCAAACAGGGACTGGAGCAATAGCACAGCGGGTAGGGCGTTTGCCTTGCACACGGCCAACCTAGCTTCGATTCCCAGCATCCCATATGGTCCCCCGAGCACCGTCAGGAGTAATTCCTGAGTGCATGAGCCAGGAGTAACTCCTGTGCATCACTAGGTGTGACCCAAAAAGCAAAAAAAAAAAAAAAAAAAAAAAAAAAGCATGCTCCAGCCCTTTGAACCATCCCCCTGGTCTGAGCACCTGTGTCTTCACCCAGCTGGGTACCTTCGTTCTGCTGGGTGAGGGTAAAGAAGGCAGACCAGCATTTGCCCCTTTGGAACTAGACTCCAGGGAATAGCCAGCTTCCAGGTTCACCTGTCAACCTTGCTGCTTCTTTTTGGTTTTTTTGTTTATTTTTTTTGGTCACACTCGACAACACACAGTGGTTACTCCTGGCTCATGCAGTCAGGAATTACTCCAGGTGGTGCTCGCGGTACCATATGGGATGCTGGGAATCGAACCCGGGTTGGCCACATGCAAGGCAAACACCCTATCCACTGTGCTATCACTCTAGCCCTTTGCTGCTTCTTAGACCGGCTGCTGCCTCTGCTCCCAGGACCTCACTAGTTCTCTCCCTGGGGGTTAGGGCTTGAGTGGGTGGTGCTCAGGCCCCAGGCATTCCTGGCCTTCAGTGCCTCCCAGCATATTCTCACATGGCCTCCTCAGCCCCATGCAGAGGCCTTTTGACCCCAGCTTCAGACCTTGCCCTGTCCTGAGGCGGTGGCCCAGGGTCTCCCTCATGGCAGCAAAGAAAGGAGGCCTGGGGGGGATTGGGTAATAGGACACTCGGGCTAGATTTTGGCACCAGCCCTGGAGGTCCCCAGCATCTGCCAAGAGTGGCCCTGGGGACCCCCAGCACTGACAGGGCGGCCTCAGGAATCCTCAGCCAGGTCTGGGCAGCACCACATCCACAGGCCCTTACAATGGACCACTAACTTGCTTAGCAGAACCACCTGCGGGGGGGGGGGGGGGGGGGAGGGGGGAAGGGGTGTCCTGAGAACAGCTTAGGGCTCCGCCACTCCCTGCAGAAGAGTACAGCAGGATGAGCACATGCCTTGCACACAGACAACCCAGGCTCAATCCCTGGCACCCCACAGGCTCCCCCAAGCCCCACCAGGAATGATCCCTGAGCACAAAGCCCTGGGCAATGCCAGATGTACCCCTTCCACCCCACCCCACACCCCCCAAAAATTCCCAGAGATGAACCCAGCCTCCAAATCTGGGAGGGAGGAGGGAGGAGCTGCACCGGCCTGGGATCGGGAGACCCTGAGCCTTACCCCAAACTCCCTCAGATCCTGGACGAGGCTCTCAAGATCTGCAACTACATCTTCACCGTCATCTTCGTCCTGGAATCCGTCTTCAAACTCGTGGCCTTCGGCTTCCGTCGTTTCTTCCAGGACAGGTACCAGAGAGGATGGTGGCACGGCGGGTGCAGGGACTAACTCCTACTTCCGGACCCACCAGGGGTGGATGGCGGGGGGGGGGGGGGCGCAAAGAGAGCTGGGGAAAGGGGAGTCACGTGGGGGGAAGGAAGGAGGGAGCATTGGCACAGGAAATAAGTCACTGACGAGCACGAAGCCCAGGTCAGGGCTGGGGATGCGGCTTATGTGGAGGACCTGGACACTCCGGATTCAGTCCCCACCGCACCCCACCCCGGCCCCTCTGTATTACCAGCTGGCTATCACTCACAATTTAAAAAGAAAAGGAAAAGAAAGGGCCAGATAGCACAGTGGGTAGGTGAGGTGTTTGCCTTGTACGCGGCTGACCCAGGTTCGATCCCCGGCATCCCATATGGTCCCCTGAGCCCTGCCAGGAGTAATTCCTGAGTGCAGAGTCAGGAGTAACTCCTGAGAATTGCCGGGTATGTCCCAAAAAACCAAAATTAATTTTTTTTTTAAAAAGTACAGATTTAAATCCTGGGTCAGATTTAAATCCTATTTTACCTTTTTGGAACCTCAGTTTCCTTATCTGTGAAATAGGATAGCAACAATATATCCCCCCACACAGAGTCACAACGATAACGGGCTCCTGGCTGTAAAACCCTTAACATGCTTGAGGGACCGGAGCAATAGTACAGCGGATAGGACACTTGCTTTGCACGCAGATAACCTGGGTTCAATCCCCTGCATCCCACATGGTCCCCTGAGCTCCTCCAGGAGGAACTTGTAAGTGCAAAGCCAGGAGTAACCCCTGAGCACTGCCAGGTGTGACCCTAAAACAAACTCTAAAACAAAGACCATCCTTGGAGAGTTCAGAGCAATAGGACAGCAGGGAGGGCATTTGCCTCGCATGCAGCTGACCCAGGTTCAGTCCCAGCCCCACATATGGTCCCTCGGGCATCGCCAGGAGTAAGTTGTGAGTCAAGAGTAAGCCCTGAGCAGCGCCAGGTGTGACAAAGACAAACAAACAAAAGAGACCCGTGATTGACTTGTGGACACCATAGACGCCCCAGGTGCAAACAAGAATGAAGACCAGGAGGTGGCTCGAAGGGCCGCACCCCATGGTCAACTGGCTCCACCACCTCAAGCATTGCCGGGTGTGGCTCAAAAAGCAACCAAACGAACGTGAATAAATAACCCGGAACAGCAGGGTCCCAGGCCGGCGCCCCGGGCCTGTCTGTGCCGGATGGGCTGCTGGGGGGCAGTGGTCTCCAGCTCCCTTCTGTGGCTGAAAAGTGCCCCCCGGGGGGCATGCTGCCCCTCCCTGCAGCGCCCGCCCCCTCAGGGAGCTGTCCCCTGGCCTTGCAGGTGGAACCAGCTGGACCTGGCCATCGTGCTGCTGTCCATCATGGGCATCACGCTGGAGGAGATCGAGGTGAACGCCTCGCTGCCCATCAACCCCACCATCATCCGCATCATGCGGGTGCTGCGCATCGCCCGAGGTCTGCACCGCGGGCCACACACCCACTGCCGGCCAGGGATGGGGTGTGTGTGTGCACACATGTGTTTGTGTGTACAACCATGTGCATGTTTGTGTCCCTGTGTTTGCGTGTTATGAGTGTGCATGCCTGTGTATGCGTGTGCATTTGTGGGTGTTTGTGTACAGGCATGTGTGTATCTGTGAGAAGTGCAAACGTGTTTATGTGCATGTGTATGTATATATGTGCACCCATGTGTGCCTGTGTATGCATGCATCTGTGTGTGTCTGTGTGTGTGCGTATGTGTTTGTGTGCATGCCTCTATGTATGTGTCTGTATCAGTGTGTGCCTGCCTGTTTATTTGTGTGTGTCTGTGTGTGTGCCTGCCTGTGTATTTGTGTGTGTGTGTGCCTGCCTGTGTATTTGTGTATGCGTGTGTCTGTGCCTGCCTATGTATTTGTGTGTGTGTCTGTGTGTGTGCCTGCCTGTGTATTTGTGTATGTGTGTGTGTGTGTCTGTGTGTGTGCATGCCTGTGTATTTGAGTGTGCGTGTCTGTGTGTGTTCCTGCCTGTGTATTTGTGTGTGTGCCTGCCTCTGTGTGTATGTGTCTGTGTGTGTGCCTGCCTGTGTATTTGTGTGTGCGTGTCTGT